CCGGCTGCTGGAGCTTGTTTTAACTCACCCCCTCCACCCTGGACCCCCAACCTGAAATCCTTGGAGTCAAGCCCTTTCTTTCTCCAGTCACTCACCCTCTAGTGGGAATCATTTTGTCCCTTCCTCTAGAAATCAGTCTCTGGAATGGGGGAAGGGGGGATAGGTTTGGGGTGCTCCTTAGAGGGGCAGGCCTTGGGTGCAGGGCTCTGGCACAGCAGGAGAGTGGGGAGTAATCATCCAGCCTCCCCATTTCATGTTGGGTCAGGCCCCACAAGGACATAGGAGGCATGTGGGGGTGAGATGCTCCCCCAACCTACCACACCAGGTCTGAATGTGTTTCCCAGTCCAGCAGCTTCTTCTCCTGTTCTGTTCCTTGCAATGGGCAGAGGGTGGCCACAGTATTGGCCCAAAGGGAGAAGGAGAACTCCCCTGGCGACCTCACGGGCTATGGCCACCCTCTCCAGCCCCTTCTCTTCTGCTGGCATCTCCCTGCCCATGTCTAGCGTGCCTTCCCTCCCTGCAGGGCCTGCTGCAGAGGGTGCTGCTCATGGCCTCCAGGCCTCCTCTCAACTGCTAGCATTTCTAAGGACTCTTCTACCTCTCTCATTTGACTTTTAAAATCCTTCTTGAGCTCTTCTAAGAAGGCTTTCTGGGCTTCAGACCAGTTCACATTCCCTTTTGATGTTGCAGATGTGGGTTTGTTGACAATGTTGTCCTCTTCAGAATTTCTGTCTTGATCTTCACTCTTCTCATAATATGAATCTGTGGTAATTTTCTTTTTACTCATGGTGTTTCTTTATTCCCTGGCCTTTAAAGAGATTGAGCTCTCCTGCTGGGGATCAGAGGGCACTGACCCAAGCTTCTTGTGTTGGGAGCCTAGGTCTTAGTCACCGGCTTTGTGTGTTGGGGCCTCTTATGTTGGCAACTGGAGGCTGTAGGTTTCTGGCAGCTTACCTCATGTTGGGCTGGAATCAGCAAGGCTGGAACTTTCAGGCAATTCTAGGTTGCCTGCTTTTCCTTTCCTTTAGCTTTCTTCAGCTCTTTTTAGATGGGTGCTGCAGGGTCCCTTTAGTTCTATCTCCCTTATTTTTGCTGATGTACTGGGAGACCTGTTTGCTGGGCTGTTGTACTGCTGCTCTTTCTTCTAGTTCAGCTGTTTCAGGGTTTTTTTTTCTGGGTTTTCAGAGGTTGATAGGGGAGAGTGAGAGAGGCTACCTTTTCACTTCACCATCTTGGCTCCCGGAAGCTAGCATTTCTAAGACATGATGCATTTTACTGAGCTCCTCAATCACTCCAACAGTCCTGCTTTTTGACCTTCATTTGACAGATGAGGAAACCGAGGCAGAGGGGAGTGAAAGTGATTTGCTCCCAGTGGGGGCCCATCTGAGGCAGGATTCAAAGACAGGTATCCCTGACCCGGGTCGGGTCCTCAACTTGCTGGGCTAGATATCCAGGGACCTAGGGGCCACCCCACTGCTGCCCATGACTGAGCCAGCCTGGGCCCTGCTGGCAGAGCCTTGGCACCCCTAGCATAGGCTCAGCCCCCTGGGATGGGCTGGAAGAGAATGCTGGAAAAGGAGAGCCCAGGAAGAGGTCTTCAGCCTTTGATCTGTGCCACCCTGGGCCACTGCGATAAATGGTCTCTTTGGGGTTTGCCTCCTCACCTCCAGGCTCTGCTAGGGCGATGGCTCTCAAGCCCTGCTCTGCACATGCCGCTTCCTGGTGCTAGTAGCTCCAGTGACTCCCTGTTCTTGGATCAAATACTAACCCCAGGCATGGCCCCGGCCTCCCTTCCTTCTCCTCCTCCCCACATTGGGATTCAGCCAAACTGACTGTCTGTCAGATGCTGTTTCTCCCCTCCAAGCCTTTGCATGGGCAGTCCCTCATGCCTGGCATGCACTCCCTCCTTGCCTCTGCTTCGATGAATGCCACATTTCCTTTAAAACCCTGCTCGAGCACTGCCTTTCCCTGATAGCCTTTGTGGGCTGATGCCCGCACCACCCAACTGCCTCATATTCATTCTGGGTCTATTTAGGGGTGTACATGGTGCTTCCCCAGAGCAGGGAGGCTTCCCGAGGCCAGGGTTGTTTTGTTTCTGTCTCAGTGGCTAACACAGAGTAGCTATTTGCTTAATAAATGCTTGTTGATTGAATGAGTGAGTGACTGATGCCAAGATAAGACCAAGTCCAAACTCCTCACTCTGTCATTGGGAACCGTTCCTCTCTGCCTCCCTTCCGTTTGTGTGCTCTGTCTCCCAGCCAGATGGCCCTACAAGCTGTCTCCTGCACTGAAGATCTCCCACCTCCACGTCTTTGCACAGGCTGGCCCACAGGCCTGGAATGCTGCTCCCACTCTGCTCCATCTCTCCTCCTCTCTAACTTCCTGGGCAGCTCTGCTCCACTCAGGGCTGCCTCCCTGTTCTCTCCCGGGTATTCCTCCCTTTACTTTGCATCTCCTTGCCTTCCTGTTCTCCGTCCTCTGGTGGGGCTGGGACTGTTTTCTGTCTGTGCAATCCCAGACCCAGTCTGGGGCCTTGCACACAGTAGGCCCTTAGTAAATGCTGTTAGATCTGTCAGCCCGGGTGGGGTCTGGGAGAGTTCTCAGGGCTGTCCTTGGGCTCCCTGGGTCAGCTGCAGATGCTTCTTCTGGGCCTGAGCCACTCAGGTTGCCCCATGGCCAACCCCAAGCATCCTTTCCCACAAGAGCCTTCCCATCCGCGAGAGGGCATGGGCCTGGCTGCCCAGCCTTTCCCCAGGGCCTCCAGGACCCTCCAGGCCAGCCAGCAATAACAGCTGGGGGGAGGGGTGCTCAGAAACTCTGCTCCCCCAGGTGGCCGCCCTTGTCTCCTCAGCTGCATCTCCAACAGGGCTCTGTCCTCCTCCTCCCAAAGACCTCTGCTCTGTCTCCATGGAGGCCTCCTCCCCTTCTCTTCCCACTGCCCTGAGGGTTTCTGGGGCCCTCAGGCTAAGCCACAGCTGTTTGCAGGACCACCTTCCACCTTCCCAGGCACATTTGTCCATCTGTCCAGCTTCCCACCCCTCTTCCCCTTGCTGGGGCCTCTTGGGAGGCCTGGGACTGTCTTCTTCCCTTCTCCTCAGGGCCAAAGCAGGATGGGCAGGAGGGGAGAGAGAGGGGATGAAGGAAACACCAGGCAGTGTCTGAGTTCCTGAGCTCTGCCCATCACTGGCAGCCGGGCACAACAGCCCCAGCTACGGGTGGGGCCTCCAGGAATGAGGGGAGATTAGCTTCAGCTGAACGACCTGGCCTGAAGCTGGGAGGGTCACTGGCCGACCTCAGGAGCCCTGTGCATGTTGTCACACAAGGAATGCTTGGTTTGGTGAGGACAGAGCACAGCCTGTCTTCTCTGCATGACTTAATTCTGTTAAGTAATCTTGGGCAAGTTACTTGCTGGCTTAGGGCCTCAGTCGTTCCACTTGGGAAATAAGTGATCTCCCTCCCAAGTCTGGGGCACCGTGATTCAGGGTCCTTGCTCAATGCATAGACACTGCTTTCTAGCCTCTCACCTGCCACCCTCAGACAAGGGCATCATCCCCTGCCCCCAGGACAGTGAGACATCAGAAGGTCTGAAGCTTGGGAGGTGTCCTGGGGGGCTCACGGCTCACCCCTCCTATCTTGGCTAAGGACACAGAAGCCTCCACATTCTCTATGCCCTGGCTCCCAGAAGCCTCCCTCCTTGGCCTCACCCCACTGAGTCCCTTCTCTGCAGCCTGGCACCCTCCAGTGATACTCTGCTCTTCTGAGGCCAGAGCTCCTGAGAGACAAGTCAGGTCTGACACAGGGCTCTGCTCCCATGCCCCGGCCCCCACTTATTATTCTCAGGTCCCCTATGCTCGGCCACTTCCAATCTGAAGTCCAAGTCTCAGAGCCCAGGATCTAAAGATTTCTAGGTTCCTCTCCACCCCCTCCTGTCTCTCCCTGACTGCCTGAGCTGGTCCTGCCACCTTGGGAAACGGGGATAAAGGGCGCCAGATCAGAGTTCAGGTCGACAGGCTTTGCTCTGTGACCAGCCTCTTTTGTCCCAGGGACCACAGACCCCACGACATTCTCTGGAGCGTCCTCACTCAGGGACTGTCTTGTCCCTGAGGGCTGCTCAGTGACTTCCCATCCTCTCAGCCAGTGGCCCGGCCCACCCTGCCCCTTGTCACCCCCTGACACAGGGATAGAGGGAGGAAGGGAGGAAAGTAGAATGGTGCTCCATCACCCCCAGGGCCTTTCTTTTTCCAGCCCCACATAACTCTTTGGGGAAAGGGGAACACCTACTATGTACCACGTATTATGCTAAGCGCTTTACACACTTTGATCTCATTTGAACCTCACAACAACTCTGAGAGTGCGGTGCTGTTACTGTTCTCATTTTTTACAGATGAGGAAACTGAGGCAGACACCCAGGATCTCACAGCTAGGAAGTGTCTGGGGTCAGATTTGAACTCAGGTCATCCTGACTCTGGGCTCAGCCCTCTACCCAGCGCAGGGGACCTGTTTCAGTCTCCTACTCTGCTCACACTCCTGGTGGAAGCCTCCTTTTGTCTGGGCCTCGGTTTCCTCCTCTGGATGAGGAGGTCTCTACCTCCGTTCATTCTCTTACAGCCTTGGGGTCTCACCCCTGCTTTCTCGGGGCACTCCTTAGGGGTTACACTATAAGAAGGGACTTGTCTCGAGGCTCTACGCATCCACAGAGGGCCCCGGGAGCAGGGCAGATTGTTTTTACTCCCTTGCTAGTCTCCCCTCCTCAGCTAGTCTGGAAACTCCCCCAGCCCACGGATGGGCGACCTGCTCTCCCCTTACCCCAGAGGGTCTGCCCTTCCTGGGCTCCCTGCGCAGCCCAGGAGAGCCCAGGGCTGGGCACCCAGGAGGGAGGCTCAGAACCCTGGACAGACTCTGGAATGGCCTCACTCCCCTCCCTGTCTGAGCCAGATTGGGGGGGGGCTGGGGAGGGGGGACACCGAGGTAGCCCCGAAGCATTCACTCCTCCAGAAACGGTATTTCTTTCAATTTTATTCAGTTGTTTCAAAGCTCTGTAGTCGGAAAGCGCCTTCTCGCCTGCGCCGGGCCCACGCCGCGCCCACCGCGCCCACCACGGGTCCCGCCTGCCCGCCGCTAGTTGCAATAGGTCTCCAGCTGGTAGAGGGAGCAGATACTGTTGCAGCACTGCTCGACGATGCCACGTTTCTGCAGCTGGTACTCGGGGGGGAAGGGCAGCTCTTCCCCTCCGGCCTCACCCACTGGCAGGGGAGAAGGGGCCAGGGTGAGCAGGGGCCGGCCACACGGCTCCTCCCAGCAGCCCCGCAAGCACCGTTGTCCCCATTCCACAGAAGAAAGGGAGGCTCAGGGAGCGGTAACTGGCTCGGGCCACAGGGCTGAGCAGTGTGGGAGATGGGATTCATGGAGGCAGGGGGGGACAGAGGGACAGTGAACTCCCCCCCCCATGTCTTCTGGGCTTGTTCTGACAACAGAGGAGTGACCCTGGGGGAGGGATGCCTGCAAGGAGAGAACAGGAAATCTGGGGGCATTTAAGCAAGATTTCTATAAAGGGGATGGGTGGGGAGTCAGGTGACCTGGCATCCCGCTGTGTCTCCAGAAACTTCATTAGGCAACTTTGGGAGAGCTTCCCCCTCTGTCATCCCTACAAAGAGCTAATTAATGAGATCCTTGGGGTGGGGGGGATGCCTTAAAGTGAGGTGTGACTCTACATCCCTGGAATATGTCTGTCTCCTGAGCCTTTTAAGGGGGCTCCTGGGCCTGGGAGGACAAAGATGGGGACAGGAACCTGGGACTGGGGGGTGTGGGGGCCGGCAGGAGAGCTCCCTCCAAAGTGCAGACGTGGCACATGACTGTGATCGGCACCCCAGTGTTCTGCCTCATACCTGGATGCCCCTAGGACTTCAAGGGCTGAGGGACAGGCACAGGTCGGGGATGAGGGTCAGAATACTCACGCAGTGGCTGCTCCGCGTCCCGGCGTGCTTTGGGGGTGTAGAAGAAGCCCCTCTCCCCACACACCAGGTACAAGGCCTCCACCAGGTGGGAGCCACATAGGTGCTGGTTGACGAGGGCTTCACTGGCCGGTGGGCTGGACAATGCCAGCAGGACCGTCAGGGACAGGGCAGCCAACCAGGGAGCCATAGCCAAGCCCTAGCGGGTAGAGGGGAGGGCTGAGGGGGCAGAGAGAGGCAGCCTCACCGACCCTGTCTCCCTGGCCTTCCACACAAAGATCTTGTTGAATTAGACCCACAGAAAAGAAGAGGCCTCCTCATTCTACGTGGGAGGACACTGATGTGGAGAGGAGGGGGGCAGCCCTTGTCTGAAGTCACAGTGGGATCGGGCTGTGGGACAGAGAGGGCAGCCTGGCTTCTGTGAGTGTGGAAAGAGGCCCCTCCCTTCACTACCAGAGGCTTCCTCTCTCAGGGAGCCGAGAAGCATCTTGCTGTGTGACCCTGGGCAATGCCTCACGTCGCTGGGCCTCAGGCCTTCAGTGAGAGACATGAGGCTTGGCCTTAGAGGTCACCAAGTCCCTTCTAACACCGTTGGAAGGCAAGAGAGACGTTTTCTCCCCTGCTTCAGGAGATGAGAGGAGGCCCTGGATGGGCCTGAGGTTGGAAGGGCCTGGGACTTGCCAGAGGAGAGGCCTCTGCCTCCTCCCCCAGTCCCTAGCCGGGTCTGTGTGGCTTAGGAAGCAGAGAGAAGACAAAGGGTAGGACCTGGCTGCTAATGCTGGTTTCTGCTCTCTCTGCCCACCGCCCCCAGCCACTCAGAATGCCTGGCCTCATGGCTCTGTGGCTCCCAGCAGACTTACTCAGAGGAGAGACAGGAGAGAAGGAAGCGGTTGGAGTGTTGTGTCCGAGGCCGCTGCCTGACCCTGACGCTGACAGCTTTTAAACAGTGCTCAGTGCCCCTGTCCAAAGCAGGGCTGGCCGCTGACTCTCCTCCTCTGGCCGGGCCAGCGCCCCGGCTTCTGCTAACTGGGCTCATTAGGGCTCCGGAGTGGGGAGGCTGGGGGGGGGGGTCACCAGATGGTGCGAGGCCCAGTTTGGTGTTTCCAGATCATTTCCCAGCTCTCACCAATAACAGCCACTGTACCTGGCTTAGCAGGGACCCCGAGAAGCAGGTGAAGTGGCTGCTAATGAGCAGGGCTAATGAGGGGCTGGTGAGCAGCATGTGATGGATGAGCTGTCCCTCCTGACAACGCTCAATGGAGCCCTAAAATTAGGACTGCACATGCCTCCCCCGTGCCCCTCGCCCCCCCCCGCTTCCCTGAAGGTGTTGCTGACATGGGGTGAGGAGTCAGTGAGCCAAGGCACAAGGGGGGGAGTGGGGGCTGTAACCTAGAACTCAGGGGCCGTCGCGTTTCGGAGGGGCTTCATCATCTGTCGGAGGAAAGCAGGGCCCAGAGAGAGAGGAGTGTCATGCCCAGCCTCCTGCAGGGGTCAGAGTCTGACCTTATTGCTTCTGATACCTTTAGAGGAGGGTGTTATGGGGGTGCCCTGGGCCCCCTTCAGCACCTCCTGAGGGCCCCAACTCTCTCATTCTTGTTGGTAAACTCCTGGGTGCAATGGGAGGAGGAGCCACGGGGCAGCCCCAGACAATCCTGTTCCCTCCCCCCTCAGGAAATGCCCCCCAAGCCCTGACAGCGCTATCCAGGGCATGGCTCCTCAGGACTGCAGGGTGATGTCCGTTCTGCAGCTGCCCTGGGACTCCTGAGCAGGAGAGCAGACCCCTCATGGAAACGGGGAGACCAGGACCCCACTCTCTCCCCTCCTTGACCTAAGGATGGGCTCAAAGCCGGAGCTGCAGCCCCCTGTCAAGCCCCCTTCCCGCCTACCTGTCTGCCTCCAGGGCCTGGGCACCTCTGGCCCTCTCTGAGCCCTCCCAGAGGCTCCTCTCAAGTCAGAGAAGTGGGACCAGTGAGAGATGAAAGGGAGGTGGGATAAAGGATGGGCGCTAGGGACAGGGGAGGCAGACCTTGGTTCTGCTGTCATCGCCACAACAAAGATGATGACAGCGCGCGCTTATACGGCTCTTTGCGTATGCCCTCTCGTTCCGCGCTCTCAGTAAGCCCGGGAGGTATGTGCAAAGACTGCCCCCATTTTACACAGAAGCAGACTGAGGCCGGCCCCCTGTCAAGGACTTTCTCCCTGTCCACCTTCTGCAGGAAGTCTGGCCGACCCTGGAGCCGCTCTCGGCGGCTGCCTCCGACTCGCACGGAGCTGCTGTAGATGGGGAGGGACTAGGAATTTTGCCTTGCTTTGTGTTCCCAGGGCTTGGCAGAGTGCCTGGCACACGGTAGGCGTGTAATGACTGCTAAGTGGTTCAGAGAGGCTCAGGGCTACAAAGCTGGCATGTGTCTGAGGCAGGATTCAAACTCAGGTCTTCCCGACCCCAGAGCCCACCAGTCTATCCACTAGGTCATCAGCCCAGGGCCACTCATCTTAACTAGGCTAGAATCCCCATTGGGCCACTTACTGGCCACGTCTAAGCCTCAGTTTCCCCATCTGAAAAATGAATGGGTGGGCCCACGTGATTTCTAAGTCTCCTTTCAGTTCTGAACTGTGCACTCCTAATGGACAGGGTTGCCTTGGAAGGTAGAAAGCTCCCTTTTGTTGGAGGGATTCTAGCCAGACCTCTCACACAGAAGGGCCTGCCTAGAAAGGACCTGGAAGCCTGTAATTCTATGACTGTCCACTGGAGGGCGAGGTGGGCCAGGAAGAGATGTTTGGTGCTGGGCAAAGCTGGACAGAAGCCATCCTCAAGGGGCTGGCCATCGGGCCATGGGAAGATTCTCAGTCTGTCCTCGTCCTTCTCCCCTTGTTCTCTCGTGCTCCGAAAGAGAGCCCAAGGCCGAGGAGTCATCCCTCCAGGACACCGTTCTAGGTCGGGGCAGGCTGGTGCGTGCAGGGGCTGAGAGTATCGGGGGGACACACCTTAGGGACCAGGCCAGAGATGTGCCTCGTCGGCAGCTGTCCCAGAGTAAAAGAAGCCTTCAGAGACAGGTTGCTTGTCAAGAAATAGATTTTGACCTTTATTGTCATGGCCATGGCCAGTCATGCAGGACACCCCCCCCCCAAGTGGTAGCAGCAGCTCTAGACCCTGGGACCTACATAGGCAGGGCCCTTTGGACTCAAGGAAAGTCAGAGAAAACAAATGCACACACTTACACCCACACACACAGCAGCAGCAGCAGTGACAAGGACCATAGGGACATGCTTGGGACCCCTACCCCCCAAGACCCAATGCACCCCAGAACCCCAATGAGTCAGGGGCCAAGAAGGCCCTCCAAATCAGCTCCACCTCAGCCCCTCAATTTAAACAAAGGGAGAAGAAAGAGAAGGGGGAAGAGAGGGAATGGATCCACACTGGGAGTTGGGAACCCTAGGTCTGGACACTGGCGTGCAGGCCGGTAGTCAAGGTGGGGGAGGGGATCACCCTGTTCCATGTCAGCCGGGCTGGTGCTCAGGGGGCTAGGAAGAGTGAGGGGCTGGCTGCTATCCCAGTGTGGGCGTTCTTCGATATCTCAGGCCGGGGTGGATGGCTTCTGGGCCCCACACCCACCACTAATCCTTTCTTTATGGGGCTGGGGGCTGGAGGGCAGAGTGCTAGCTAAGGTTTGTCCCAGCCTCATTCAGTGGAAAGACCCCAGCACTCAGGCCTTTGGGGCAATTCCCTCTCCTCTCTGGGTTTCCCCTAGGCATCAGGACTGTAGTGGACTCTTAGGCCCCCACCCAGCTCTCAATCCTCAGTCTCCTCCTAACAGCCCTGGGGTGGAAGTGGTACCAGGGGGTACCAGGGCTTGCCTGTAAGGGTCTGGGCCAGGATTTCAATGCAGCTCTTCAGGCTGAGAGTCCAGGGTTCTCCACCCCAGGTGGGACACTTGCTGCCGCCTCTGCTGCCTTGACGCCAACCTTGGGGATCCATGAGATGGGGGCTAGGGAGATGGGCTATGCTGGGGAGACAAGGCAACACGCCGGGTCCTGGGCAGAGGTGGGGACAGACACGGGGTGAGGAGGCTAAGGGGGCCAGAGCGCCTGGGCATTAGCTCATGGCATTGAGCGCATGGGTCAACAAGTGAAGCTCATCCTGGACGCCTTGCAGAGAGCGCTGGATCTTCTGGGGGCTGTCCAGGACCTCTATGCCCAGTGTGTAGGGGTCAAACTTCACAGAGAAGGGGCGGCAGATTTGAGTCGAGTAGTTCCTGGGGACATGCAGAGAGAGCAAAGAGCCCCGGGGAACACAGTTCAGCAGAGGGACAGGCCAGGGCTTCACGGTGGTCCAGGGCAGAACCCGGGCAGGACAGGGAGTCACCCACCCCCTTGTCAAGAGAAGAAGAGGGAGGGGGAAAGAACACCAGCATTCACTGAGCATCTGCTATGTGTTAGTGAAGCTGGGGGCTATTTTATCCCCATTTTACAGTGAGAAAACTGAGGCAGGCAGTGGCCAAGTGACTTGCCCAGGGTCACCCAGCTAGTGAGCATCTGAGGTGGGACTCCAGGCCTGGTGCTGTAGCCACTGAGCCTGGAGTCTCTATGCACATGAGGAAGGGCGAGGCATAGCCCGAGGAGAGACAGGGGCTGCTCTGGATGGCAGGTCAAAGGAAAGGATCCTTTTTAGGGCTCCTTGTCCAGATTGGTCACCTGCACCCCCTGTACTCTGAGCAGCTTCTACTCATCTGGCACCCCAGATTGCTCCCCATCCCCTCCCTCGTGGCCCTGCCCCCATGTTAGGGCTTGCCTTCTGGCCAGGCCAGCAGTGCGGCTCCCAAGCCCCTGCCCAGAGTCCAGGCTGCTGAGAGACCTATTGGGGTCCTTGCCAAAGCCCGCCGGCTTCCTTCTCCTCCCCCTCCTCCCACCTACCTGAGCTTGTCTTTGGCATCACTAAAGCTCTCCGACACGAAGTAGACAGGCTGGTAGGTTTGGTCCTGGTACGGCTGCACAGCGGCGGCCTCGGGGTCAAACTCCCGGACCTCGGGCTCCTCGGACAGGGAGTGCTAAGCAGAGGACCCAGACCGTCACTTCACCCCCTCCCTCTGACTGTGGGCAGCCCTGGGCTACAGAAAGGCAGACCAGGGATGGCGCATCGATGAAGATGGCACCGGGAACATTAGAGCTGAGAGTGACTTCAGAGGCTCAGCCACTCAGGGTGGGTGAGGGGACATGGTTGGCGGGGTCCCAGCCTCTGTATCTTGGCATCTCCCCAGGGCCTCCCAGACCAGGAAGAAGCTTCTGCTTGAAGGGAAAACCCACTAGCAAGGCAGCTCCCATAGAAGGGGGGGCCCCGAAGCAGGAGAAGGACACCCCTGCCCAAAGGGTGGGGCTGGTTTACTGAACAATGGCCCAAGTGCCCTAAAGACCCTTCCCAGCTCTGTCTGCCAGATCTAAGCCCTGCCCCCACACAGATCAGGGGGCTCTCCATAGTGAGTCTCATTGGGGGCAAGGGCCCCAGAAGGCTCACTGACTGACCGCACCCCGGGGCAGATCCTATTTGGGAAGTGGGATTCAGTTTACAAACACTCCATGAGCCCAGCAGAGGAAAGGGAGAGGGCGGTCTGCCACAGGGCTGCCTTCCTGGTGTGACGCTGTTCATCCCCCAAGGTGGGCAAAGGCAGCAGGCCCCATCCCCCACCTCAGACCCTCTGCCTCTGGATGATCCCAAGTGGCCCCAACCCCCAGCTTCCCTGGGAAGCCAGAGCCCCCGAGGACCGATGCAGGTGAGGAGGGCTTCGAGGGAGGGAGGAAACCCCATCTGCGCAGGAGCTGGGAAGGGGCAGGCTTACGATGAGCTCCCCATAGGAGGACAGGAGGCCGGCTCCATAGGCTTTGACAGCTCCGTTCTGCTTGCAGAGCCCAAACTCCACGGTGAACCAGTAGAGCTGGAAAAGCATGTATCCCCCAGATATGTGGTAGGAGCCTGCTCTCTGGCCTGGGGGACCCCCCCCCAACACACACACCTGGTGGGTGCCTGCTCCCCACCCTCAGACTCAAGGCTCCTTGTAGGTAAGGGCCTGTTTCCCCCTGCCTCCTTTATCCCCCAAAGTAAACCCAAAGAGGCCCTTGTAAGGATATCCTGTGCTCCCACATCTTTGACTTCTTATGCTAGAGAGGAGGGGGAGGAGCAGCCCTGGGCCCCTCGATGGAGGAACAGCTCTGAGCCCAGCAATGGAGGAGCCTCCAGTCTGGGCCAGACAGGACTTAACTTTCTCACTCTGGGAGTGTAGATATGGATTTGACACTTCTATGAACTGATTTGCAGAGCGGAAAGAGATTCTAGCTGAAATTACCTCCTCCCAAACCCCCAACATAGCCAGAAGCCAAATCCTCCCCACTCCCCCACAGCAGCCTCCATAACACACCCCAGCCCCTACCCCCTGGCCAGGCAGACCTACCGTGGATAACTTCTCAATCTCCTCATCGGTGGCACCGAGGGAGGCAAGGCCAATATCCTGGGAAAGGGGAGGAGAGGATGACAGGGGCCAAGCCTGAATCAGGTGCATCTGGGTCAATGCCTGCTTCTCCTCTCACCTCTGGCTACCCCCCCCAAACATCCCTGCCCTTGGAAAAGTGCCCAGGAGTCACTGCCAATGCCAAGCAAGCAGTGCTGAGGCTGTGGGTGTGAAAGCCAAGAGGGGAGGACTCACCTGGGAGAACTGGGCAAAAGTCCTGTCTGCCAGCATGGGCACGTGCCCCAGGAGCTCATGACAGCAGTCCCTGCAGCCAGCACCCGTGGGTGCCCAGAAGGCAGACAAAGGAGCAGACACTGCTGGTGAGAGGGCTGTGGGCACAGTCAGTCTGTCCCAGGGACACACCCTCGGCCCCCATGCCTTCCTACCCTCTGCCTTTTGCCGGCTGGCCCCAGAGATGGCTGCTCCTGCCATCTTAGCCCCTCTTTGGGATCTTCTCCCCCTCCAAGAAGCCTCTGCCTCACATTTGAGGCTCTCCACAATGGCTTTGCCTTCCCAGCCCTATCTCACCTGGTTCCCTGTGCCCAGAACACCTCCTTTCCCTTAAATAGTGCCTGACCTCCATGGAAGCTGGCCACTTCCTCCAGGGAGTCTTTCTTGCCCCCATGGGTCTGTGACAAGTGTTCCCCTCAGAGGGTGGGCAGCTGGGAGTGTAAAGGCACTTACCATGTGAGCGAGTGCTTCTGTTACATGGGGGGGATCTTACTCCATCCCCGCTGGGTGCCAGAGAAAGGAGGCCTGGCCTCACCTACACTTTCTCCTTGCCCCAGCATCATGTTCTACTAGGCATCCCCAATGCTTAAATAATGTCTGTTGGGCAAAACTGAATTCAATTGGTCCTCTTCTGCACCCCCACCCCAGACCTAGAGAAAGCATTCACTAGGTGAATTTGAGAAAGATGTGCATGTAGCTCTCTGGGCCTGGATTTCTCCTTCTGTCACACAGAGAGAATCATCCCAGCAAAGAGCTGATGAGATGGAGGTTTGGGAGGGAGCAGTGCACCTTGAATGATATGAAAGGTGTTATCCTACACCCAGGGAATGTAGGTCCCTCCCTGGGCCCTAAGGAGCTCCTGGAGAATGAGGCACCCTGGGCCACAGAGGGTAGGTAGGGTCAGTGAGGAGGCCCACAGGCTATTCCTCAAGCCCACTCTGGGATTCAGGGACAGAAACTCCAGAGACAGACTTCTTACTGGGCCTGGGGATGGTAGGAGCCCCTACTCACGGCTCTGGGGAATGCATGGGCGAGGAGGCATGGCGGACATATTGGGTGCACTGGAACACCCTGAAAGCCAGGCTGGACAGGAAGTCTCGGGCAGAGAGCAGGCCGGCCACTGGCCTCAGCTGGAAGCCTGTCCTCTCTGAAAGAGCAGAGAGGGATGGGCTGAGAGCTATTAGCCCAGCTAGCCCAGAGCCAGGGAGCCTGGGCCCTCAAAGTTTCTCCTGGCCCTGCCCTTGGCAATTTTCAAGGCCTTGCTTACCTCGTACTTCTCTAGGGGCTACTCTGGCCCACACTGACCTTCCCCTTCTTCCCCACCCTGGACTCTTGTGACTCAGATCTTCTCCTGGCCCCCGGAAGCTCTCTATTCCTGCCTCTGGACATTTTGCCTCCCTCCCATGGCTAAGGTCTGTAAGGGCCCCAGGAGGCAGCCTGGCCCCAAGAGATGGGGAGTGGAGTCATTCTCCCTCTCTGCCCACCTGGCCCTGGCCCCCACACAAACTGCTCTTACCCTTCAGAAAGCGGGACACATCTTCAAGCTGGGGGATGTTATTCTCGCTGTAGCCGCAGGACCTTTCCAGCAGCTGGAAGGCCTCCACATGCTCCCGGCAAGCATGGGTAGGGTACAGGCTCTTCAGGGTGGTGAAGACCTCTCTCCTAGGGAAGGAGCAGAAATGCAGAGACATGAGCCTGGAGAGCCCCAGGGAGCCTGGACATGGACACAGGTGAGCCCTGCTTCGGATGAACCTGCAGTATGTAATAGAGAATAAAAGAGTCTGCACCTGCTCCTCATCCATTTACAATGAGATTCTAATTGGCAATGCTTTACCAACTTCTCTTGTAGGAGGAGAGGGAAAGCTGGGGCAATGATGATGAGACAGGAGGAAAGACAGAGGTTAATTGGGCTCTTCTCATCCATCCATCTATTCACCCACCCACCCATCCATCCACCCATTCATCCATCCATCTATCCATCTATCCATCTACCCATTCTTTCATCCATCCATCTATCCATTCACCCATCCATCCATTCATCCATCTATCCATTCTTTCACCTATCCATCCACCCACCCACCCATCCATTCATCCACCCACCCATTCATCCATCCATTCATTCACCCACTCTTCCACCCACCTATCCATCCATTCACCCACCTATTCATTCATTCATCAGATAGGCACTTTGCCACCAGGAGATCCTGCTCCTTATCCCCTGCCCTGCCCAGCTTCCTTGCCACTTTCCTGCCCTCTTCTAAGCCATCCTTCAAGGCCCAGCTCAAGCTTCATCTTCTCCAGGAAGCTGTCCCTGACCTCTCCAGTTCCCTTGAACACCTTCTGACCTCCCAGAGCACAGTCCTCAGGGCTCAAGGCCCTCCCTGATCACCCCAGTTGCTCACGTCCTCCCACCCCAGCCCAAATGACTATGTCTATGTTTTGGGTTTACTTATCAGCACTCATTGTGTCCACTGCAAAGACCATAATATTGTATCTTTGCTATCTGGGCTCTCCTCCACCCCCTGGCAGGGATCCTGTCTCGTCTAAGCTTTGACCCTGTCTGGGTCCTGATGCTGGGCATGCATCAGGCATCTGATAAATGCTGACAGTTTGCCAACCTTTCCTTGGATCTTCCACAAAGCTCCCTCTAGCTCCCAGAGCCAGTGACTAGCCAGCTGGCTGACAATGCCCCTGAAAGACCATCAGCTCTCAATCCCTGGCTGTTTCCAAGCTCTGCTGGGGGTTTCTTTTCTCCAACTCGCTCCCCTTCTCTTCCTCGACCTCCCCATGCGCCATGTGGCCACGTCCTTACCAGGTGGCGATCTCCTCTGCTGTATACTCCACGCGGGGGATCGGCTCTCCACTGAAAGAACCCATGGTTAGTTTCATCTGTTCCACATCCCCCAATGACACTCCCCAAAGCCAAGGCCCCCACTGGACTAGATGGTTTCGAAGACCCCCCTGGTCCCCCAGCTCAGATGTTCTACAGTTAGCAAAGGCAGAGCCTGCATGGCCTTCAGAAGGCTGGCATCAAGAGGTAGATGCTGCCCCGCTACGTCTCAGCTGTGTAACCCACTGTGAGCCACATTCACAAAGCTATGATGAGATCCTGGCCTCACATGTGGCCAGCCACCTACACCTCTGGACACGCCCTTTTGGGGCCTTATTCAGTGAACCCGTGATCATTTAAATATCCCGTCTGTCTATGAGAGATCTCTGGCTCTGTGTGTGTCAGCCTTCCCTAGACCCCAGCCTGGCCACTTGGCCCAGGCCCCCTGCCACGACCTTGCCCTTTGGTTGGTGGTGGGAGACTCTCGGGTGCCAGGGCCCTTGGGGGTGGCGATGGGCTGGGTAGGGGAGCTGGCCTGGCTTACTGCTTGTATTGGAAAGCGATTTCTGCTATCAGCTTCCTCCGCTGGCGATAGACCTGATCAGAAAATCCCTGCAGAGGAGGAGAGGTAGAGGGGGTTGCTCAGGGCGCGGCTCCAGGCCTGAGCCCCAGGCCTCTTGGCCATCCCTCAAGCCTCCCTGCTCCCCCCACAGGCATCAAGGAGTGGACTCACTGGGTGGTCCAGGTCCAGATCAGGGTCAAATTTGGTGACCAGGTGGTGGCATTTGTCCAGTTCGGAGATCTTTCTGGGAAACCAGTGAACTTCACAGAAAAGAGGCGGGATTAATTCTACAGATGCCATAGAGTGGTTCTCTCTGTCCCTGCCAGGTGGATGGAGCAGGGCAACCCAACTCACCCAGTCAAGAACGGTAAGGATGCTGGTGGGCCCCCATTTCTATGGCACTGTGGCCCTGTGATGGCTAGGGAAGGTGAGCGTCATCCTCTCCTTCTCTGCCAAGGGACAGCTTCCCTTACCCCCACCCACATCTCAGCCTGAGGACCTGGGAGCACAAGGTCACCTGAGAAGCTCACTCCTTCGTCTGAGCCTCAATTTCCCCACCTGCACTGCATCCCCTCCCACGGGCTATGGGAGGAAGGACCTCAGGGCTCTACTGAAATGGGAGGCTCAGCGCTCAGCCAGCCACAGCCCAAGACGTGACCAAGGACTGGCTGCTGCCTTAGGGGAAGGACCCCTGGCCACCCCCACCCCTGGTGCAACCTGCATGGAATAGAGCCCGCCTCCGCGGCCAGTCCAGGAAGGTGTGTGTGTAGGGGGGTGTTAAACGTTCCTCATCTGCCAATGTGAAGAATTCCCCTTGTAATAGTGCACTAATCATAACAGAAAGATGAAGCTGTGGGCCAATGGCAGGGGGACAGAAAGAGCACAAGCATTCTAGCTAGGGTGTTGTGGGGACACTATAGCTTCTCTGTCCTTGCTCCTATGTCTTCTGTCTAACCCAGAGGAAAGAAGGGAGGGAGGGAGGGAGAGAGGAGGGAAGGAGGGAAGGAAGGAAGAAAGGAAGGAAGGAAGGAAGGAAGGAAGGAAGGAAGGAAGGAAGGAAGGAAGGAAGGAAGGAAGGAAGGAAGGAAGGAAGGAAGGAAGGAAGGAAGGAAGGTGAGAGGAGGGAAGGAAGGGAGGGAGGGAGGGAGGAAGGAAGGAAGGAAGGGTGGAAGGAAAGAAGGAAGGAAGGAAGGAAGGAAGGAAGGAAGGAAGGAAGGAAGGAAGGAAGGGAGGGAGGGAGGAAGGAAGGAAGGAAGGGTGGAAGGAAAGAAGGAAGGAAGGAAGGAAGGAAGGAAGGAAGGAAGGAAGGAAGGAAGGAAGGAAGGAAGGGAGGGCTCTTCCAGCTCGGAGCGGCTGGGGACTGGGGCGAGGCGCGGAAGGGAGCACAGGACTCACTTTTGTGCTCCTTGGTGCTGCGCACCTCGTCGGAGACCCTCCGGACGGAGCTGAGGAAGGCGCCCAGGTCGCTGCTGTGGACTTCACAGCGGACAAAGTATTCGAGCTCCGACGTCCCCTCCTTCGGCTTCCTGTTGGTTCTGGTCTCCAGGTGGTGGATTTTGGCTTCGAACGTCTCGTGGAGGGAAGTAGAGGAGGAAGAGCTCACTGAACACTTGCCCGTCCCCACTCACCTGCCCTTCTTGGCTGCCCAGGGTGAGGCCAGGGACACTTATTCTGCTGCGAAGGGAGGAGCGCCAGGTCCACCAGCCGGACCTCAGTTTTCTCCTCTCTATCATAGGCATGATAACCTGCTCCCTGCTCCTGCTGAGGTCTGTTGGACTTAGAGCTGGAAAGGGAGTGAGGCCACCCCTGTTGTTTTACAGGATAGAAAAGTGAGTCCCCGAAAAAGCTTGAAGGGACGAGTCTATACAGTAGCGCACATTTTAAAGGGCGCCAAGGACTCTCAAGGGGCTTAGGAAATATTCTCCCATTTGATTCCCACAACAATGCTGGGAGGTAGATGCTATTGTTGGCTTCATTTTACAGATGAGGAAAACGAGGCTGGAATAAGTGAAGGGACTTCGCCAAGGACATAGCTACCATAGTGTCCGAGGCTGCATTTGAACTCAGGTCCTCCTGGTTCCAAGCCCCTATGCCCCTCTCTGCTTCTGGAGGACAGTGAGATAAAGAGACTAATAGCTCAGCCCCATTGCTCAGGCACTCCCAGGTTGGCAGAACCTTCCTCACCAATGCCCAGTGAGGGAGGGAGTATAAATTTCATTATCTTCATTTGACAAATGGAGAAACTGAGGCTCAGAAGTGACTGACTTGCCCCCTGTGGTCTCAGAGCCAGACCCCATACCCAGGTCTCTGCTGATTCTGGGACCAGAGGATTGCCTCTCAAGGCACTGTAAGAGAATGAGCCCCCCTCCCACCCTGGAACATTTCCTCCTGCAGGGGGGTCAGAAGGGGAAGCTGGGGGTCAAGTTTAGGGGTGGCATGGGTTTGGAGTCAGAACACTCAGGCTTGAGTTCCGTCTCTGCCCTCTGTGTGACTTTGGCAGGTTCCTTCCCCCATGGGCCTCAGTCTACCTCTCTGTAAAGTGGGCTTGTTGGTCATGATGGCCCCTCTTCCAGACCTGCCATTGGCTAGCAGGCTGGACACAAGCCTCCCTTTGGCAGTTCTGAAGGGGCTGGGGGCTGTCCAGGGCGGCTCAGAGTGAGCTCAGAGCCCCCACCCCCAGCCCATCCAGGCTGCACCCTGCCTCCCACCTGCTGGCACTCATCACATCAATCCCTGGTTAATTTGACAGCCACTCTCCCATTAGCTGCTCTGGCCACATATAGGGGCCTGTGGCTGACTGGCAAATGTCATTAGGGGGTGGGGGGGGAAGAGTCGGGGCTGATCTGCCACCAGACTCTGCCACCTGCACAGCCCCAGGCTGAAAGATCGATCCCTGGCTGCTGCTGCCCACCCAGACCACATCCAGATGCATGTGCTCTCTCTCTCTCTTCCTGTCTCTCACAAACACACACACACACACACTCTTACACACAGATACTCATGTACACTCACACACATACAGACACACTCTCATACACACACATACAGACACATGTACTCACACACTCACACGCAGGCACACATGTACTCTTTCTCACACACACATATAGACACACACTCTCATACACACATATACAGACACATATGTACTCTCTCACACACACTCTTACACACACACTCACACACACATACATGTACTCTCACACACAGGCTCACATGTGTTCTTTCTCACACACACGTATAGACAGACACTGTCATACACACACTGGTACAAGTACAGATACACACATACCTTTCTTCCTGTCTGTCCCAACCTGCCCCCCCACCCTTGCCTCCAGCACATGACATTGCTCCAGCCCTGAGGTGGGGGCTGGGCTCAGAGGAGGCCATCCATCCCGCCCATCCTGGGAACCAGGGCAAGAAGGAAGGAGGGGTAGGTGTGAGCACTGCCAGGTCCACTTACCAACAGCTCCGTGAAATCCTTCATCCAATTCCCACCCAGCCTTTTCTTCCCAGACCCACAGCTTCCAGTCAGTCAAAGCCCTCAGGCCTCCTCCCTCCCAGAGAGAAGCCTCAGCCAATGGAGCTTGAGACCCAGAGGAGCTGAGTTCGAATCCCAGGTCTGCTCTGTGGCCTTGATCAAATAGATTCTCACCCTGGGCCTCGAGTGCCTGAAAGTGCTGCTTTGGAGGACCTGCCAAGCCCTCCCATGACTGAGCTGGCCATCCTCTGGTCTGATAGCCTTCACTTAGGGAGGTCAGTCACCTGGCCATGGCCTGACCCTGGCTGTGATCACAGAGCTCCCACAGACCAGGCCCCTCCCAGGCTGGTCCGAGCTCACCACAGAACTACATAGCCACCCCTACCCAGCTCCCGCGGGCCAGCAAGAGCCCCCCAATCTCTCACCTCGAACACTTTCAGGGCCCGGGACAGTGATGTGGACTTGGCTGTCTTCAGAGTGAAGAAGAGGTTGAGGAGGGCCTTTCCATCCTTCTCCTCAAAGACAATGGCGTCTAGGGGATCCCCGGAGGCCTCCGCTGCCGCAGCTGCCATGGCTGCCTCCCTTTCCTTGCGAGCATCTTCAATGAGGCTCTGCCGCCTGCCAATGAACCTCGGGGACTGGACCAGAGACAGAGTAGGGTCAGCAGCACAGGGGCCTCCATCCTTCTGCCAGTCCCCCTCTGGGACCCCGGGGGGAGAAATTCACCATCTCAGTGGGCATGGGCACTGAGGCCAAATGGGGAAAAGCTGAATCATGCTTGCGATGTCCCTTGAGCCCTGGATCCTGTGTTCAGAGCTCCCCAGGTTCACTCTAGGGAACGGTCGAGTCCCAGGGAGCTGTGCAGTGTCCACTCTCCTCTCTACCCCTCATAGTATGGGATGAGCCAGAAGCCAGCTGCCTTCAGGATCCAAACTGGACATTTCAGGCAAAAAAAAATCTGTTTTGGGGTCTCCACAGTCTGGCTGGGCCATCCACACTGGCCAAAGCAACCAGCTGGTGGCCTGATCCCTGGCTTACTTTGGGCTCCCTAGACACTGCTTCCAAATCCATTGTGTTGGGGGATCCAGGCAGGCATGACTACAGGGTAGGATTGTTAGCTTTCTAACCCTCTGCTCCATGCCTTCGCCCCCTCCCCTCAGTAATCCACTCAGCCCACCTCTCTGGAGGCTCTCTGTGGGGATAGAGAAGTCTAAACAAGGGATGCCCACAAATGAGGCAGGGACCCCCCAGAGGGTCTGCTAACTGATTCATGGGATAAAAGGATGGTAGGGCAGGAAGGAGCCTCAAAGCCATCTGGGTCCCCCCTCTCATTTTGCAGATGAGGAAACTGAGGCTCAGAGAGGTATAAGGATTGACTGAGGCCACCCAGATGCTCGGTCCTCCCCCTCTGCACAGCTGTGCTCCCAGGGAGTCCTCCTCCTACACTATGACCCCCTTCTCCCCTAGCAGGTGGGCTCTGGTCATTGAGAGCTCCGTTGAGAGCTGATACGTTGTGTGCGATGAAGGGCTTGCCAAGGCAGCCCTGGGAGGTGGGTGCTCCTCTACGGAGGGTGGCAGAGAGTGGCCAACCTTGCCCAGGGTCACCCAGCCGGGTTCAAGGAGTTCTCTCCTCTCCGCCTGGGGCCTTGACCAAGTGAATCTACTCGCGTAGAACCACGTCCTCACCTCCCCATTTAACTAATTAACCCATGCAGCCAAACCTTCCTCCCCGTCTTCCTGGGCTCTGGACTTTGGTGCCCAGACACGGAGTGCTGGAGGGTCTCGCCCACCCAGCTGGGCAGGCCTGAAGGAGTGCTGGCAGTGGGCTGTGTGGCTGATTTCAGAAGCTTGACTCAGAGCATTGAATTTCTCCTGTTTCTATGACCAGTTGGGCATCAGGAACACGGGCAGCTCTTGAGGACCCCCCCAGAGATAAAATGACATTTCGGCCCTAGCTGTCAGCCCGTCCCTAACTGCATTAGGTGGGAAAGGGTGATAGCAGGAGTGGGAGGTGGCTGTTGGCCCAGAAAGCCTTCGAGGGGCAAACCTAAGCTAGCCCTAGCTAGGGGAGTGTGGGGCAGTGCCTGGCAGGCGGCTGGCGCCTCCTCCACCAGGGAGCCCTCAGAGGGCTGACCTAGCCTGCCTGGAGAAGGACTCCTCAGCCTCACAGCAGCCACCAGCTTTGGAATGAAGACTTAGAAAGGCAATCAGGGCGTTCTCTCTGGGTCTCCTCTCTGAATATCCTCACGCCCCAGGGGGCCTCTCCTGCCCCTGCCCTCTCTGGGCCCCCTTAGAAGTACCTCTGGCTCGGGGTCCTTCACCTCACCTGCAAGGACCTGGCTCTTGGGACAGCCTGGAGCAGCCCCTGCTCAGAATCAGGCTCTTAAGCTATGGGAGGGAAAGTCTGGTTTCAACTACAGGGGGTAAAAAAAGGGGCGGCGGTCTCCTTTCCCCCTCTGGATTGCCTCGTGTGTCAAAGAAGGCCCTTGGGTGGGCTGGGGATTAAGAGCCCCCTCCCAACTGGCCGTTCTGGCTTGCTGGGGAAGGTTATGGAGGAAGCCCTCAGCCTGGCCCCAAAGGTCTGAGGAAAGAGGCTTTAGACAACACCCAGGTCCCCCAGAGACCTGTGTCTGCTGGTGGGCAGGTCCAGGAGAAAGCGGTCTTTGTTATCTCCAAGATTTCATCTGGGGCCTCACCAAAGCAGCTGCTCCTCTTGTCCTCTGCACAGGGGAGCCGAGTAACTTCCTCAAGCCTCCCCAGGGCACCCACTCGCTGTGGGACATCTTTTAGCCTCTCTGAGACTCAATTTCCCCCTTTATGAAATGAGGAGCAGGTAAGCCCTTACTCATTTCTTTCATGACCTTCTAAGGCTGTAGCCTCCAGGCCCTGAAGGTGTGGAATGGGGTTGGGGGCACACAGAACAAGGGGACAGCCATGTGAGGAGCCCAACAAGGACTGGGTCAGTCAATGACCGAGGCCAGCCCAAGCCCCAGGTGTCCTCCTGGCCAGCCTAGGAGCACGACCTGATTGGGAAGGGTTGGCCGAGGTCTCAGTCTCAGGGGCCCCTATGCCTCAGGGGCAGCCCCTCCCCACTCACTGCGCCTGTCCCAAGGAGTGGGGGAGGGGGTCCTGGCCAGGGGCAGCAGGGCAGAGAAACCCCGGGCTCAGGAGCTACCCATCACGTTAGAAAAATCACCCCTTAATTCAGCACAGCCAGAACTTTTGTGATGGGTGCCAGGCCCGGTGCTGGCTGCTGGGCACACCAAACCCTTGCCCGTCTCAGATGCCCATCTCAGATCTCTTCCCAAGAAGAGTGTCCACCTCTACTACTCCTTCTCACTCCCCAAACCCTAGAAGCTGGTAGTCCAAAACTCATCACCCCCAATCAGCAGATGTGGAAACTGAGGCCTTACAAGCCATGACAGCCTTGGGAAGTTTAGGGCTATGCCCACTGCACCACCCAGCTTCCCAGGGTCCTTCACATACATAGGATTGAAGGGCTGGCATTCAGGACACTGGGGTTCCAGCCCCAGCCCTGCCTCTGTCTCAGAGCTGTTCCCTTCTGCCTGGGCCTTGGTTTCCTTCTCTGTAAAATGGGGGGGGCTCAACCTCAAAGATCCCTTCTAGCTGATCTATAGAGTCTGGGCTTCTTGGGGCGCGTGCACACACACACACACACACACACACACACACACACCACACACACACAAGATATGACAGAGACACAGACTCCAGACCCCAGGACTCTCCCCTCACCTCAATGCGCACAGTCACAGACACACCCAGGCCCAGAGAGCCACCCTCTGACCCATGGTAAGTGGCCAGGCCCCTTGGGGCCCTAGGAGAGGGTCCTGGACACAGCCAGTGGAAAGCAAAGACTTGCCTTTGGCATCCTTCGGCCCCTCAGCCTCATGGCTCAGCATCCCTATGCCGGGGTGGGGTGGGTCAGGGACTAGAGCAGCTCAGGAGATAGGGACCGTCCCCAGGAGCTGGGCTGTAGCTCTTACCATAATGGCCTCCGCCTGTTTGGAATCCAGCTCGGACACTGCCCTGCGGAAGCCCTTGGCCGGAGGCGTGGAGATGTTTGGAGTGGGCATCGTGCCAGAGGGCTGTCCGTCTCTTGTCCGGGGTCTCCACTGTCGACTCCCCTCTCCCAGGCAGCCTCTTATAGGCAGGGCTGACGTCAAAGCCCCTTTCAGATCCCCCGCTGGCTCCCCCCACCGCCACCTCTGTGCCCCCCTCCCTCCCTGGCTCTCTGGTTCTGCACTGCCTGAGGGAGGAAGGAGGAGGGGGCCAGAGATGAGAACGGGCTCTGTTCTATTAAATCTAATTGCTCCCAAGATTGCAGACACTCGCCTTTGGAAAACGAGTTATCTGCTCCTCCACCATCACCTCTGAATCATCCCCTCGCCCTGGAGAAAGCTGAAAGAGCCAGGGTGGGGGCAGCGGCCAGTGCCTGCCAGGCTTACCCTCCCAGGGGCTGGGTGGCAGCATATCTCCTCTACCCAGGGACCCCCAAAGACAGTGCCTGGGCTTCTGCTTCCGGATAGGCTCGGGACCAGATATTGGAGGCCCGGTACCTGGACTGAGGGAATTGGTGCCACTTCCCCCAGAAGGGAAGGGTGGAGGCATCTCTGCAGACCCTTTTGGACATGGGGTCTTGAACTTAAACACTCTGGGCCTCAGTTTCCTTCTCTTAACTCCCGCCCCTCCTGGCTCCCATCCCCCGTGCCCTCCTCTGTAAGACACGGTTCTGGTGGGGACATAGCCTCCCTTTCCCAGAGCACGGCCCTACCAGGTAGGAGAGATAAAGGTTATTCATCATTCCCGTGCTCTACACTAGCTCAGAGATGCCAGGTGACTTCCCCAGGGTCACCCAGCTCGTGAGTTTCCAGCCCTGGCCAAGGCTCTCCCACTGCATCGTGTGGAATCCTCAAGACTCCACTCATGGAAGGGGGAGGAACGGCCCCATGCTAGAAGTGACAAGGTCTGCTTCCATGTCTCAGCTCTTCACTCTTCTGCTGTGTGACGCTGAGCCAGACCATGTCCTCCCCAGAGCCTCGCCTTCCACAAAGGAGCTCACAGTGCTGACACTTTCCTTCCCAGGGTTCAAGGATGAAGGGGAACAGGGGCCATCTCTCTGGGCTTGGTCTCCCTCCCCTGTCCATCTCCATCCTTCTCTGGTCCTGACACCCATGGGATCCCACGCCCTGCCCACCTAAGTGGGGAGAAGTCTAGGGAGGGTCCACACCAAGCCAGCTCGGGACGTGTCTTCACTGAGGCACCAAATGTGATTTGGCCGAGAAAGATGAGAGTGAATGAGTGGATGACCATGTCTCCTGGGAGAACCCCCACCATGCAGGGCAGGCATCACCTCACCTAGCTGTCCTTTAGAAGGCTTCCCCTTCCTCTGCTGACCACGTGTCTTCCCTTGAAGGACCAGTCACCGACCACGCCCAGGCGACAGGACGGCCAGGAGGAGGCCCGGCCAGAACACCATGACTATGGAAACATGACCCCCAGGATGCTGGGGACCCCCAGCAGGACAGAACTCCTCTGGTCACTCTGACACACACACTGTTCTCAATCCCATCATGGCCCTAAAAGGCCCCTGGGCATAGCAAGGTATTGAATGGAACTCATTCCGTGCTTGGGGTCTTGTGCATTGTCCATCTCCCCACCTGAGGCGGGGATTCCAGACTCCCCAATCCAGTGCAAAGTGCAGGTCTGCCAAATGACAGACCTCTGGAAAGAAAAAGATGTGGGCGAGAGTACAGGGATCTGGGTGCGAGTGTGGGACCTGCTCTCCCCTCTCAAGGCCGCCTTCCCCTCTCTGCGCCTCTCTATAAGATGAAGAGTTCAGACTCAAGGATCTCTAAGCATCCTCCTGTCTCTGACTTTCTGGGAGCCTTTTGTCTCATAGCATTTTTATTTGCACCTTTGGGGTGTGTCTGTGTGTATGTATATGTGTGTTGTGTCTGTGTCTGTCTGTATGTCTGTATGTCTATGTGTGTGTATCTGTGTCTGTCTGTCTGTCTGTATGTCTATGTGTCTGTGTGTCGGTGTCTGACTGTATGTCTATGTGTCTGTGTGTCTGTATGTCTGTGTCTGCCTCTGTGTGTGTCTGTATACGTGTATTATGTCTATGTGTCTGCCTGTCTGTGTGTCTGTGTCTTTCTATATGTCTGTATGTCTGTGTGTCTGTGTATGTCTGTGTGTGTGTCTGCCTGTGTCTGTGTCTGTGTGTCTGTATATGTGTATTGTGTCTGTGTGTCTGCCTGTCTGTGTCTGTATGTCTGTGTCTGCCTCTGTGTGTGTCTGTGTACGTGTATTGTGTCTGTGTGTCTGCCTGTGTGCATGTCTGTATCTTTCTGTATGTATCTATATGTCTGTATATCTGCATCTGCTTGTGTGCCTCTGTGTGTGTGTGTGTGTGCACATGAGCTGGGAGCAGGGCAGCCACGTCCTCGTTCTAGGTCCATTTGCACTGGGGGATCCCAGGCAGTCCCTTCCCGTCTGCAAGACAGGGGGGTTGGGGGAGGGGGTCCTCGGGGTCCCCTCTTGCTCAGACCCTCCTATTGGCGGGGTAAGGTTGAAGCTGGCGGGGGGTGGGGCACGGATGACGTTGCCACCCCTCCCCCCAGTCCCCAGTGGGGCTCTGTCCTGCTAAGCGGTTTGCTCAGTCCCGGCGCGGCTGATAATATCTCCTAAATAGCAGGCTGTGGAAATGCCGCCAGGCCGGCAGACAGCAGCGGGCTGTGGATTTAACCTTTCGCCAAACGCCTCCCGTGGAGACAAATGTTGTTTTTAGCCATTTCCCAGGCTGAGCCCGAGTCCTCGCGGAGGGAGGCAGCTTAGGGAGATGAGCTGCCCAAGCGCCTCCCCGGCGCGGCGCCCGCTCGAGCCCTGCACGGCTGAGGCAGTCCCCGGAGCAGCCCCCGCGCTCGGCTTTAGCATGCCCACCGTTGCCCGGGAGGCGAGGCCTCTAGGGCGCGCCACAGTGCGCAGAGAGCCGGACCCGGAGTCAGGAAGACCTGAGTTCCAATACTGCTTCAGGTTCTTCCCGCCTGTGCAAGCCTGGGCAAATCACTGCTGTCTGCCTCAGTTTTTCTCATCCATAAAATGGGGCTAAAACTGGCACCTACTTCATAAGGTTGGTGTGAGGATCAATGAGAATATTGGCAAAGAGCCTGGCACACACTAGGTGCTTTATAAATGCTTCTTTCCTTCCCTCCACGAGGTTCCCTTTCTCAAGTGATGAGGCAGTGCAAAAGAGCCCCACTTGGAGCCAAGAGAATCCTGGGTTCAAATTCCAACTCCCTTGCTCCCTAGCTGTGTAATAGCGAGCAGATTTCTCAGCTCTCTGCCAAAGCTCATCACTTCCAGGAAGCCTTCCTAGTCTAGACCGAGAAAGGAAAAGTGAGAATCGCATCCAGGAGGGTTTTGAGGGGATTCTTGCTCAGATTAAGACCTTGGCAGAGGCTTCCTGCTTCCAGTGCAGGGGTTTGTGGAAGCTGTGAATTGGGAAACACGGCAAGGCAGGGGAGAGATTTCTGGAGGGAGGGAGGGAGGGAGGGAGGAAGGAAGGAGGGAAGGGAGGAAGGGAGGGAAGAAGTAAGGAGGGAGGGAACAAGGAAGGAAGGAAGGAAGGAAGGAAGGAAGGAAGGAAGGAAGGAAGGAAGGAAGGAAGGAAGGAAGGAAGGAAAGAAGGAAGGAAGGAAGGGAGGAAGGAAGGAAGGAAGTAGGAAGGAAGGAGGGAAGGAGGGAAGGAAGGAAGGAGGGAAGGAGGGAGGAAGGAAGGAGGGAGGGAGGAAGAGGAAGGAAGAAGGAGGAAGGAGGGAAGGAGGGAAGGGAGGGAGGAGGAAAGGAGGGAAGGAAGGAAGGAGGGAAGGAGAAGCTGAGGAAGACTCATTCTCAATACGAGAGAGGGGTGGAGGGAGCAACCTCCCTTTCCCACCAGCTACGAGTCCTTCTTCCCTTCCAAGCTCTGTGGGGGTGGGGGAGGGGAGGGGATCAGTGAAATAGAGCAGACAAAAGAGATTGAGAAACAGTAGAACTCAATAACCTAGCATTTGATAAAGTGAAAAATCTGTTACTTAGGAAAGAACTCCCTGTTTGATTCAAACTGCTGAGAAAACTGGAAAGCAGCCTGGCAGAAATGAGGCTTAGACCAGCAGCTTATACCACATTCCGTAATATATTCTAAATGGACACATGACTTTAATATGAAAGTTCATACCATTAAAAAAAGTTAGAAAAGAAACATATGGTACATCTCTCACAGCTCTGGGTAGGAAATGTGTTCTTAACCAAAAAGAGATAGAGGCTATTAGAAAAGAGAAAATAGAGAACTTTGATTACTTGAAACTGAAAAGTTTCTACACAGATCACATCAATGCACCTAGGATAAGAAAGGAAGTGGTCAAGTGGAGGAAAAATCTTTGTATCAAATGTCTCTGATAACAATTTGGTATCCAAGATCTCTATCTACTATCTACCTACCTACCTATCCATCCATCCATCCATCCATCCATCCATCATCTATCTATCTATCTATCTATCTATCTATCTATCTATCTATCTATCTATCTATCTGTCTGTCTGTCTGTCTGTCTGTCTGTCTGTCTAATAGCCATTCAAAGGATATGAATAAACAACTCACAAAAGAAGGACTTCAAAAGTATTCACAGACACATAGAAAAAAGTGCCGTAAATCACTAACAAGAGAAATGCAAATCAACACAGCCCTGAGATTTCACCACACTTTGCAAATTGACAAAATGACAAAAAATGGCACCAGTCAGTGTTGGAGGCATTGTGGGAAGATAGGAACACTAATGTGTTGTTGGTGGAGCTGTGAAATGGTACAACAATTTTGGAAAACAATTTAAAATTATGTAAATAAAATTACTAAGATTTCCATACCTTTTGAACCAGAGACTCCATTCCTGGGCTTATATGCCTCCCCCACCAAAAGCCATTGATGAGGGAAAGGTTCTCATGAACTCCAAAATATTTGTAGTAGCACTTTTTGTGGCAGCCAAGAATTGGAAGCAAAGTAGATGCCCATTGACTGGGGAATGGCTACATAAATTGTAGTACCTGAATGCAATGGAATAGCAGTCAATCAATCCATAAAC